TACTGATATAGTTATATGTTAAAACTAAGAATTACAAATTGCATACGAACCTTGGACATTTTCCCTTACCAATTAATTACATGGAAAAGTGCTATCAATAATACTTATGTATAAAAAAGGAAACTAAACTATTAAACAAAGATATCAGACCAAAGATTATTACAAAAAAATAACCCATCAACATCTTTACAAAAAAATCTCTTCTTTAACTAGGTAGATATTGCATGACTGTCTCGTCTTCTTCATTTTCCCCTTTTTAAAGAATGTAATGTTTTTCCTAAAAACATACAGATAAATAGTACATTTTGCAAATAAAAAATATTGAGAAAATAGTTTCCTTAGAGCTTTTTCCATATTTCACTTACTTTTGTTTGACAATTAAACAAAATATTAGATGTAGAACATATTTATATACCACAGCAAAACGTATTTCATAACAATGGGAAACAGATTAATGTGTTCTGGTTCTATACAATCGTATAACGTGTTGCAAACATAGGCGTTTATCATTTGAATTGCATATCAAAGCTTCGATTTATGTTTTAAGAACGAATCCATGGCGTAATCATTTAATAATTAGCGGAAATACCTGTCTTGTTTATTTCTATTTAAGACATTCTAGAACTGTAAAAACTGTCAAATTTCCTCGAGGCATACTATATATTTAGTAACACTTGCTGTCATGGTTTTCAGGACTGTGTAAATTTTAAAGAGTAGAGTACACCAAACTACATCTGTTCAAAGTAGTTTTTCTAATGCCTTACGTGTACCATTGTATTAATAAATATGTATATTTATGTTAATATGACGTCACGATTATCTCTCTTGTGGAATACCCTGTCTCCCTTTCCACTCTTTTCAATTTATTATGAAAATTTCCAGGAAAATGTGTTTGAAATGCGTCAATGATAAAATACCCCTTATATAGAATATGTTTGAATCATTCTCGTATTAAGATATATTCTATATAAATGGATGAATAAATAGTTTACATCGTTGCTCGTTCCATTGTTTTAAAAACAGTTAAGTGTCATATATGTACATATTAATGATACGTTCTTTTATCACATCTTCTGTATTTGCAATTGATTCACATTTTGATGATATAATTTTATATAAACTATATTCGATGTACATTGTATTTTTTTTATCATCACAAGCACAACAAGTATGTTATAGTTACTAATGTTTATAAAATGTGAATACACAAGCATTCAATTATAGGGCTATTTGTTCTCGGTACTATGCTAGCGATGTGACATTGTCATAGGTACTGGTTTCACTTATCGTCTGTTAACAATTACGTACATGTGTAACACGTGGGGTCGTATACACTATCCACTTTAGCTTGTGTATGTACATGTGTGGTCGTACTCCCTGTCCACTTCCTGTTGTGTGTTACACGTGTGTGGTCGTACTGTACGTATTGTCCACTTCCGGTTGTATACATCTGTGTGCTACACGTGCGTGATCGTATTCACTATCTACTGTCGGTTGTATATGTCCATGTGTGGCCGTACTCACTGTTTCATACAGGTTTACTTATGTTTATGTGACCATACATGTTGCCTGATCCACCAGTATGATCATATACATCGTCGCCAACATCTCGATTTGTACCAGCATGAAGGTGACTATACATGTCATCTGTATGATCATAATTATTTTCGTTGTCCGACTGATGATTGTGTCTATTCAGGCGGCCGTATGTATCGCCAGCTGTACTAATACATGTATGATCATACGCATTATCATCGTCATGTAGGTATGAACTGTTAAGATGTCCGTATGTGTCACTTACCGTATGATTAGAGGTATGGTCATATTCACTGTCCTCCTCATACCTTTCACTGTTAAGGTGTCCGTATGTTTCACCTTCAGCACCAGTATGATCATACAAATCCTCACCTGACACGTTCTGCTTCGTTTTAATTTCCCCTAAGTGGTTATACACATCATTGTGTATACTATCGTCCGTACCCATGTTGTCTTCTGTACTAGGATTTCTCATTTCTAATGTGTTGATGTTTTTGTTGCTTCGAACGCTTGGAGGTTTTCTTAACACCCCACGACGCCATAATAGAACAACTACTATAATAATTATAATGACAAGAGTCCCTACCACTGATCCAACTATAGTTGCTGTCTGGGAATGAGTTTGTGTGTTACTTGATACTTTTTTTGCTGAATATGTCGGTGATGAAGATAATTGACCATATTTCACTGGACTTGGTGAACTGTTGAATGTCGCCGCATGTCCATTCGAGGTAGTTTCCAGGCCAGATGTACTGGTTGTGTTCAGACGAGTATTGGTTGACAATAGGACAGTAGATGTAACACTGTCAGGGACAACAGCTCTGTTCGTACTAAGAATAGTCGTTCCTGTAGTCATGAGTGTAGATAGAGATGTGTTGGAACATACCACTGGGAGAAATGTATTACAGGGCAAGTCAACAGTTTTAAGGTGATTGCTAGGTCTATCGATGTTGACTGCTACACAGCTGTCATTTTCAGAACGTGCACGGCCCCATGATGTAAAAGTTACCACAAACGTACCAACCCAGTACGTACCATTACGAATTCCTGTCACATTTGTTGTTCTACCAGCAAACTGTTTATTAATATTATAGCATTTCGAAAAAGATTGTAACCAATTATTTGAACCTACGCTGAGATCAACTTGATTGTTGTCTGGGTCATAACAAACAGGTTTGTTTGTGTAACTACAGTTCATGGCAATAAGTTTTAGTTGTGGTTTGTAAGTTACTGTCATACAGTCACCTCCATTAGATATGTATCTCGGATCGCTTTCAATACTGAAGCGACACATACAATAAAATAACACTCTGTCTGCATTACGAGAGGTTCCTTTCCCGCAATATGTGTACTTTGTACCTGGACAATTCTCCGGAAGACAACCAGTCGACAAGCCTTTAACATCCTTGAAACAAACACACGTACCATCCGTAAGAACGAATTCACTGTAGTTGCAGTGTTTCAAACATGATTTGGCTGGGTCTTCATGTGGGGTCAGAGGAGTCGAGCTAAAGTTGCTGTTGTTTAATATGCCATAATAACAACCCTCGAAAGTGATCCAGACACGTTTAGCGTACGCCCCAATCCATGCTGTCTGATGTGTGTCCAAGGCGATGCTGCTGATGGTATTGTCAAGGTTTTTCTCAATCTCACCTGTGAGGTTAAGACCTATCATTGAACATGAGCTGTCATTGGAGGCCTCGTTCCATGTTTGGTTCCTTGAAATATAGTTCATTTGAGGGGTTCCATGACCATTATTCACAAATAGACATAATAGTACGAATACCACAATGACTTCCATTACTCATGTACCTCATCCACTAAATGCCGTGTCGTGTAATGTCTATCAGAGCAGTGAGCATACTACTTCATATTTTTAAAACATTATACCATATTTGAAATGTTATCAGTAGACATTGCCATACAAAGCATATCGTGATTTTGTGTATCTGTCACCTCACTGTGTACACACTATTCTGAACCAGGAAGTTAGAAAGCAAGAACAAAGGTCAATGTGTCAGCTGATAAATACGTGACATTAGTTTACATGTATTACGATAAATAAATATAATACATATTTCTATACATATACACGTCTATCCCTGCTCAATCAGATCGGATTCTTAATATCCTTCCACGAGTTTACTGAAAATAAAAGACCAGCATTAACTCTCGCTATAGACTAACAATTATCCACTGGACACACGCACAAAAACAACGAATAAGGGATTTTCAATAAAAATAATTGTCTCAGTCAAATCAAACACAACTTTAAATCGTATTCGAATGACTATGACAGTACATAAATGTTTTAGGTTCACTTTTGCCATGCATATGCTGTACGTAGGTGATCTTGAACAGCCTCTTATTTAACATAATATGTGGCATAGAATGTTGACATTTCTTCCAATTTCAGCTGACATTTTAATTTTATTTATGTAACAAAGCTTACGTGAACGCTAGGAGGTCTGGATAGTACAAATTCTCCACGTGGGAATATTCCAAACACGAAATCATAGGAACACGTTCTAATTGTAATGTGGATCATAACGTAAGACCCCGCAACCGCCCCAATAGTAGCTTAGAAAAAAATATCGGAATACCATAATACGTTTACATACAAAAAAATGACCAAATTTGACCATATCTTAATTTCGATCAATCAGAGGATTATTATGTTAAATAAGAGCGTAACTCTCGGGTGCCGAAGGCGCCCGAGTGAAACTCTTTAATGGTTACAAAAGCGTGCGTAAACAGAGTTGCTTTCTACACCTTGCCCTTGATTTTTTTTCGTCCGGAAGTAGCCCTCCAGTGGGGAAACCGGAAGAGTATCCTTGACTTCTAGCCAATGAAAAGGGTGAAAAACAGAAATTCCAACGCCATATTTCTATATTCTATTTCTGTTTCGCGAGAAAACGGAACTCTCACCTGCTATACAAGAATGCAAAGTATTACTTAATTTATTACCAAAACATATACAACTTATATACCTTCTGAAACTAGAAGACTGTCTCTTAATTATTCAAAACATATTATACACTTTAGATATCAATAATTAATCAAATCGACTTAAATATCGAGGCGCCAGGGATTTCTCCGATTTCTGGTGCGCGCACTTCCGGTAGATTGTGTACATGCTGCGATGGCTGCGTTAAAACTTGTGACATGTAGTATGTAGTCATTTAAAGTATATGGATGTTATTGTGCAGAAATAGACGATTAGTTCAGTCACTTCTTTCCAGTTTCTTTAGCTTGTAATCGTGCTAAATGTTGGCCAGGTTCAGGCGTATGGGACAAGGGTTGTATACTAACTTACACGTGTACAGTACACTTCCAGTTTCTAAACACCAATAGATCTAAGTCACTCGGCAATTCATGTTTTCTGCACTTCAATAATGTCAACGTGCATTATCTTAAGAATGTTATGACACATTTTCTTAAGCATGATCACAGGGGCCTGCGGTATGATGCAGTTCTGTGGGAACATTCGGAAGAAAGAAAAACATGCTGAGCATGTACAGCAAAAATTTCAAGGTATGTAAACATTTAGAAAAAATGGTAGTATTTTCATTGTATAATGAGATTAATGACCAAATGCTTTAGAAATCAAACCATGAATAATAAGTGTGTAATGGGCAGAACCATTAACAAAAACAAACATATTTATTCTCGTGCAATAATAATAATAAAACAGTATGGAATTTAAAGCTATGAACTTAATGCATTCATAATTTTGTTTAATTTGTTGGCTTAGCTACTCATATCAGGAATTAAATACAGTATCATCATTTAAAATTTAAATTCAGATTTACCTACTTGCGTGAATCAGAATATTTTTATTATGAGTTAAGAGTTCAATTTTGTTTCCCTTATTGTATCAGGTATGCAGATGAAGTGATTGGGATGACCACATACTTATATAACAAGTGGAAGAGATGACTTTTTTCTCCTATAAACTTTCCTGGCAGAGACAACTATATATCCGCCCAACTGAAATTCTTCTGAGTGTGTCACTAAGTAGGACTACATGTAATACAATTGAGTTATTAATGTTATAATATTATAATCCAATTACGCTCCACTCAATTAATTAGGTCATTATCAATTTTTTCGATGGATAATAATTATTCAAATATTGGAAATATTAATTTCAAATAATTTATTTGTATAATTCTAAAATTATGTATGGGCCTTGTCAAATAGATACCCTGTTTATTCGATGCACTGTGCCATTATTCGAAACAACATTAATCGCTTAACCTAAGGTGTCCCTATTCTATATTTTTCCAAATATTTCTCTACCCATTTTTAAATGCTTTCAGATGTACATTTTCATTTTCACAAACTTGCCTGCAAGTTAATTTGAAAACATTCTACTAGCCCATATCTAAGTCCGAGGCCCAACCTATGTGTTCATAGTAAATATTGAACATTTTCACTAGCCCAAATTGATATTAAATATACTAGTCCAAGTGTTGAAATAGTTGATATTTACATTATTACACACCCCTGACAGAGAAATCCAATATATAATGTATATATATATATTTTCTAAAAATACCTTCATAATACTGTACTTAAAAACTTGAAAACAGAAGATTGCCAATGATCAATATATTGTATCTTTCTTTAAAGCAGGGAGATATATTCCTCATAAATACAATATTTAGTTGCTCGAAATATATGTCTCTGCTTTAAAAAAAGGACTTTAATATGCTAAAACTGTTTAGATGTACCATTTTAATTGCGTCCCAACCTCCAATCCTGACAAAATACATGTATTAAATTTGTTAATACATTAGTGTGCGCCTTGCAGGGGTGGGGAGTTGCATAGGTTGATATGGGGTTATCTTCCCCTGAACTCCATCGTTTCTGATTGTTCAATGTTGTTTTTTACGTCGAATGAATGTGTCAAATTACATTCTTTTTATAAAACTTTTTTACTTCACAATAAAACTGTACATTTTTGTATATTGTGTGGCGTAGATGATCACCAAACCTTGTATGTACCAGGTATATATCAACTGCTTTTTAATGCATATACTTTCTGTTGATATACATACAGTACATGTAATTAAATTTCATTTTTTTTAAAGGTGACGCCTGCGCTTGACGGGGAGGAGACTGATGTGAGGCTAGTAATAAGAGGGACAGTCATTCCTGAATGTCTTTCAGTGGGGTCAGAGGTTAAAGGCTTATCACCAAGTTGGCAACATAAGCCTGCTTCCTCTGCAAAAATACTTGCAAGTACCTTCCCTGCTTACTTCTAGATGCAATTAATCTCATATTGGTGATCTATCCAAACAAAGGAATGATGACATACTGTATTTGAAATCTACTTCTTAGGTAAATAGTGCATTTCAGTGACTATTCTATTCAGTCCATTTGTACTGGCTCAAGGACTGTCTTTCTGTGGATGTACAAGTTTTATAGGTTTATCATCATGTCAAAGTATTTACTGGATGTAGAAAGCGAGGCTAAAATGTGAAGTGTTGGGCGATGAATATTAAATTTTTCCTTTGCTAATGAAATGATGGGAAATGCTCAAAACAGAACATATTATTAATTATCTACAAAAATTATAAAAAAAAATAGTATTAAAAATAGGAATAACATATTCTGTGCCTGTACAAAAATGTCTGTTTTATTTTCTGAAATTGATATTTAACAATTTTTTGAGAAAAACAATCACTAAATTGAGACAGCAAGATTTTAAAGTTTTTCCACAAACGACCTCATCGACCTTAAATATTTACATGGGAAAAGTCTGAGGCTAAGCATACCACCATTTCCAACTGAAATAGAATAGTCAAATACTTATTACACAGGTAATTTCTGTATTGTACTAGGTGGTCGGGTGATGAAGTGGATAACGCATTATTAGCGCACTTGCCTTTCACCAAGGCAGCCGGGGTTCGATTCCCCGATCGGACATGAAAAGGTATGGGGTCACCTGCCCGACCACGTGGGTTTTTTCTGGGTACTCGGTTTCCTGCCACAGTAAGGCATCCTGCTCGCAAATATCCATGCCAACAAATGTGATTAACATAAGCTGAAATAACATGTTTCATCATTGCTATAAAATAAATAAAATTTATATTTAATTCCTGTACGAGTTTTATCCGAAGTGTCGCAAGAATATACGCTTAAGAGAAACAATAATTGTGATAAATTCGTAACACAGAACGCCATACATATTCAAACAGCCAGGACGTTTTAATTTTCTAGATTTTTTTCTTTGTTGCATTCAAAGAAATAATCTCTTCAGTACATTAAAAACTCTTTGAAATGGGCATGACTGACATTCAAAGTGTCTGCGTAACTTAGATAAGACAGTGACCATGGTTGCAACGTCAAAACTCGCACAACTTAATTTCACCTGCGGTCCTTCCAAAACTAGCACCAATTAATTTCATGTACGGTCATTGCAAAACTCGCTGTAAACATATTTTTGTCACAGCTATAACCGAAACGAAACTGTGCAAATGTGATTCTATAAAGTTTAAAATACAAAAGTGTTATTTATTCCATGGTCATATGGAACCTTATTTGTTTTTATATTTCAATATTTGTATGACTTTATAACATTTTTAATTATTTCTATTTAAATGCTCTAAAATTTCTCTTTAAATCATGCTTAAACATCTGGAGTAAAGCCAGAAATAAGCAGTTAAAATTACTATGCATACACTATGTTAACCATCGGTTACGTTTGTATCAATCTTAACAGTAATGTCGGAAATAATGACGTTGTGAGCAACGTCAAAAGTCATATATCATACTCTTTAAAGTGGCGTTAACTCGTCAAATATTGACGGACTGACATAACTTTATATAATTTTGACCAGGAATGTTTCTAGATTTCGAAATCATAAAACTCAACTCTAACTAATATTCCAGCCGGCTTGATACTAACGTGCATGAATCTTCGTTCAGAGATTATCCTACTATGACGTCACAGACACGTCATACTCCATTGGCCTTCATCGGTTATTTCTGGAAGGATGAAAAATAACCGGAAATCTTTTGAACTGATATCCATTGCATTATCTTTTTGTCGGTACTTCAGAACTTTCTTTTATTTCTGTTTTCCCACAGGCACAAAAAGTAAGAATGCGGATATTTTCTGAATATCCTTTTTGTCATCAACCAGGTTCTGTTAATATTTCTGCCGTGAGGTATCTTCTAAAAGAGACGGCATTAAACCAATGCCAGTTCAACGTCAGAACGTGTACATGTATTTGTTCATCGTCTAAAATTTCATCAGCTTTTGAAAATATGTTGTTGAGAATATGAACGAAATAACTAGAATAGTATTTTTATAGTCTTTACATAATGTGTATATACATCACTACTCATAAAAGAAACAATTGATAATGCATTTATGTTGAAATCAACAATGATCTTCCAGAGCACCAATACGAGTTTAACGCCATTTTTCAGCAACGTATTACTGTTTCACACCGCATGTCGATTTATAACTAATTACAGACAGAAACTGTTTAATCTTATTAGGCATCCTTACCTGTCAAACCTCGTTGACTGTAACAAAATTTGAAATTAAACCCGGTGTTCAAGATGGAACAGAAATTGAGACTTTATATCAATATAACGACATCCGATCTTTCGACAGGAAAAGTTAAATGATTCTTCAAAAACGGACGTGCTTCCATATTTCCCAGAACGGACTAAAATAAAAAGTGGACGAACTTGCCCCGATCTCCCCTAATTGTAATGTGATCTCAAATTCCCAGTAGAGATTGTGTTTTATTGTCATTCCTCGACTTGCTGACTTTAAATAATGTTTATCTTATCTCATTATGAAATCAGTATTTTCTCATTCTAAACGAATCAGTAAATATCAGAGATCAACAAGAGCAACGCTCTTTTTAGACTTTGTCTTTTCATATTAAGAAATAGTTTTAGCATTACTATTGCACACCTACCAGCCAAATTGAGTAAAATATGTCAATCTGAATTTCGGTCAATCGGAAGCCACTAAAGGAAAGGCAATTTGTTAGAAGACTTAATGGATGTGGCATAAGAATTTTTTCGTTGTCATAATTTATCTGAATGCCAAATTTAAGTAAAAGCAATAACACGTCTACATACCAAAATAGAGCGAAATCGGACAGTATCTGAATGTTGACCAATCAGCAGCTAGTTCAAGGCAGCCATTTTGTTTTATGACTAAACGGAAGTTACATTAAAGGTCTCAATGCCATAATATATCTTAATGCTAAATTTTAGAACAATCAAATACTATCTTAATGTCAACCATTCAGAAGCCACTGAATAACGGTAATTTTGTTCAAAGACTAAACAGAAGTCTCGTTAGAGTTTGCAGGTCCATGACACAATGAAAACCGTTTTGTCCATTATGACTAAATGGAATATACAATACTTATGAAGTCGCAGTGCCATACAACGCCGCATTTCCAGCTCGAATTACGTTTATATTCTTTCGTATTTTCATTGTGTTGCATTCACTGTAAGCATGTATTTTATTTTGTTTTTATCCTATTGCTGATTGATAGCTTGTATCTAAGGCTGCTGCTGCAAGTTCTCTGTCATATCGTTATCTTTATCTCAGTAATTATAACTTCGTTGTCTCTAGATCGTGTTACCATGGCACAACAGGAATGTCCTCATTCTATAAACATTGTACATACATGTATTTAAATACCCACGAAGCAGAATGATTTCGTATCTAATAAACAAGTACTTCAGCTCGCTTGACATTTACTATCAAAAGGGTGGAAGGATCAACTTGCCAACTACGACTAATAAAATGCGCAGAAGGTCTTGATATGAGAGGAACCTGAAGTTCCCGACGAAAACTCTCGGTTGTATACTTGGTTTGGTGTCTGAAATATCGAATGTGTTTGAACGATTGATTTGGTCTTGTCCTACTGTGTCTGTAGGCTTGGACTCCTAGCATAGGATTCTACTACATCATTGACTTTCACGCCGCGGCTTTACGTAGGGTATAATTGCAGTTGTGACTAGACTTTTGCGTCAAATGTGCATGTCGCCTTTACGTGGTGTCGTCGCAACATATGTAGGTTTCATCTGGGTTATTGTTATCTGTTTTGTTTCGCGGTTCAAAAATGTTGCAAAAAACTGCATACCTAACTAAACTCTCCTTTGTTATCTCGAGCAAGCCTATTACTGTGACAACAAGCACACATTATTTAAATTAATACATTTCAAACAAAGATACCGATAACATATCAACCATTTAATTGAAAAGAAAAAACACAAATTAAATTTAAATAATACATGTGATTAACCTGTTTTAGATGTTAGACTTAAAGAGGAAATACAACAATGTATTATGAGAACACTACACGGGCTAATATCGAAAAATAATAATAGGAACAGAGTAAAAACAATATAAAGTATAAGACATAATGAAAATGAGGCAAATCACTTAAATCTGAGTTTTGTTTTTGATAACGAAGTGAATGGAGTTTAAACCTAACTTACCAGCCTCGTCGTTGTAGCAATATTAAATCGAAGTATGATATGTTAATTAAAGAACAGCAATGTGCAAAATAACTAAATAGGATTTGTAGATTGTTTTTCCTTTACGTAAGACAAGTAATGCCGATTAGCATGGTACTGAATAAACAGTTTAACTTTTTACTTCGTAAACTGATGTGCCCGGGTAAGTGTAGCCTGCTGGTGTCACGCTAAACTATCTACTAAGTAGGTAAGGTAAGAAACGTTTTTTTTATCATAACCACCAGACAGAAACAGAAAGGTAACGGAGTATGTAAACTTACGTGCCACATTAAGTGTCCATTATGCAAATCCTGAGATTTTACTTTTGATTTGGATAACTGTTGGACGCATTTCAGCATCGGCTAAACTTCAATCGAAACAGATCACTTATTTACAACAATAATTGTATGTGTTCTTTCGTTTGTCGCAAATGCCATAAGAAATATCATGATTTAATATGTTTTATAACACAAGTATCACGATTGACTGGGACTAGATGGTTTATCTTTACTGTTATTGTCAGACATAAATGCTATTTAATGATATACTGTGAAGAACCCTTCCAAACCGATGCATACATACCAATATTCTCAATAGGTCTACATTTTGTTTATAGATTAAATACCGGCCGTTGTAAGCTTCCCAAAAACGTTCAGGTATCTCCTCCACCCTCTCGTTTTTACACGATTCGCGTGTATGATTGCCAAATTTTGACAAGAAATATCGTCATTTCAAAGGAGCCATTGTGGCATGCATGATACTATGTTAATCATTGCATTCTGTACTGCACGTAAGAAAATGAGAATCAATTGCTTTTTTTATCTTTGACACTTTTGCTATGTAAGACAAAAAGAGAAAATTCCAGTTTTAGCCTGCTGATAAGAATTAGGCAAACGTTAGCGGCATGGTACCTTTAAGAGACCTTATGACATCAGAATGTGATTATTAGATCGGTAGAATTGACAGTGCTTGACAAATGGTGGTATTCCGATTTAGTTTGTCCTGCGAGGATAAACTTACTCTGACGTTACAAGGGTTATTTCAGTTGCGTAAGTGTGAGGCTTTGGTGATATTTTTGTTTTGTTATTTTCTCCGTGTATGGCGACTAAGACAGTTGGCAAAGTATTGAAACTTAATAGCAATGACCCGTGATATTAGTAGATAATCTGAACAGTTATACTGCAGTCGATATTTACAACACATAATCTGCATACACAATTGGTCCTGAAAAAGACTCAGACCTTTTAAATAACCTTATAATTTCTTAAGTAAGACCATGAAAAATTCTTCAAATCATTTATTTTATTCATTGTAAAACATGAAATCCCAAACTTTTTTTTTATCTTTCTTGCAAGTTTAAATTCGAAAATCAACCATTACTCACTATCAGATATCTGTTTCCGAAGGTGTCTTTTGATAACCTGAGCATACACTGGCGCCACAGCGGAACTATCATTTTGACTTACATCGTCATACTGAATGTCTAACGTTGGCGGCCTTGCGTTGTCGTCGGTATTTGTAATTGGCAGGGATGCCGATTTCTCAGATACTCCTCCGAACACGTGATCATAATCACTGTTAACGGTTTCTTGGTTGGTTGTGCCTAGGTGTCTGTATGTTCCATCTGTCTCACCCGAGAAAGTGTGATCATAGTCACTGTCGACGTACTGATAGTTTCCTGCGTTCAGGTGTCCATACATCTCACCTGTGAATGTATGATCGTACATATCCTGACCTGTCAAAATACGGTCACCTCGGAAATCAGTCAGTTCATCATAAACATTGCCTGATGTATTAATGTATTGAGCAATTTCCCCGGGTCCCTGTGAACTTGTAACGTCAGCTTCACCTCCATCTGGTTGCATGTATTGTCCTGATGAAGAACCGTTGACAATGACTTGTCGGCGAACCTTTCGCCGCTTCACAAATACAAACACAACAACAAGCGAAACGATAATCAACGACGTCACCGATCCTACAATAGTTACAATGATTATCGTAGATGTAGCGCCGTCGTTGTCCAGGTTTGACTTGTAAAGCGTCTTTAAATTGTCAGTTGGCGCTAATGTTGACTGTTTTGTTAAATTTATAGGGATTGTATTAACGTGTAATGTCGTATAGATATCTGTTTTAACTGTATTGGCAGTTACTGTCTTGTTTGAGGGGAAGCACAATGCTGGTATACGTGTATTACATGGTAAATGGATGAGTCTCACTTTCCCCTCCCTTGTCTCTGTAGCGGCTATACATCCACTTGTGGTACCGTTGGAATTGATAATTCCCCATCGAATATTTGTCACGGAGAATGGACCTGCCCAATATGATCCAGTGACTAGACGGAAAGGTAACCAACGAGTTCCTAAGATATGATTATCTCTATGGTAACAGTTCACTAACGATTGGTACCAAGGTGATTCAGTTTTTACGAACTCTGGTAATGTGCCTCCGTGAGGTTGTTGACATATCGATAAATGTGTTTGGTTACACTGAGCAGCACTATATATAGGAGAAGGGTGATTCTGACGGTACGTAGAAAGCAAACAGTCACCGGCACCCTGTATAGTCTGGTCGGAGTTGATTGTATCGTAATGACACATACACTGTCGTCCAGACACACGAGGGAAGAACATTCCAGAATATCCGTCTCTCGACCCACATAATAAGTCAGAAGAATGTTGACAATTTACTGCGCTACATCCGACATACTTTACTTCGTTTTGGTAACAGAAGCATTGATCGTGAGTTAGAAAGAAACCTCTATTTCCACAGTGTGACAAACAAGATGTGATGGTAGTTTTAGATAAATCGAATCCTTTGTTGGCACGATCAATTATACCTGTGTAACACCCTGCAAACTGCATCCAAACACTTTCTACATGAGCTCCGATCCAGGCAATGGAATGTTTTCGCAGCCCGTTGATTATATTACGTTTGTGGTTTTCTGTTATTTCACCCGTGCGATCCATTCCAACCAGCTTACAATTCTGGTTATATGCAGCTTGCATGAAGGTTTGGTCACCTGAAACGGACACACTCACGTGAGAAATTGCAACACAGAAAGTGCTGTATACACCAAGTATTCCATACAGAAGAATAGCACGAGAAATGTGACGTGTAAAGGTGACAGTCATAAAGATGTCCATTTCACTTGTGTAATGTTAACGCACGATTAATTGTACTACTAATGATAAAGATAAAATCACACAACGATACGCTGTTCCTCCTATGTTAACATGCTTCTACAAATAACACAGACATGTCCCGTAAACATACTTCAGACGTTTAGGGTAGAGTAGCTGGTCACTACAGGCCGAGTCAACAGGGCACATACCTCTAGTGTCACGTATAACAATAACACACTGATGGGTTAATGATAGTGATGATCACAAACACTTAACCGCATACAGTTGTTACACAAGGTATCGATCCTGGTGTTACAAGACAAACACACAAAGTTATGCTTGTTTTTCAATAGTTACACGCTATACAGCAATTCTGAATGGTCATAATGCTTTTAGTATTCTTGACCCTATCTCGAATCTACAGAAAATCACTAATAACAAGCCTTTCTGTTTCAGAACAATAATACGGAACAAGGAAGAATCTCAAGAATGCATGCAGTTGTATAAGTACACGATTCTGAAATGTTGGTGACATTGGCCTTATCAAACGGTGATATTTAAATTATAAGATAAGTGCTGTCAATTACCAGAATACACACATGAATTAGAAGAAACCGGATTTCAGTCAGTAGAAATACAGCTAAATTTTCGTAGCATTAATTCGCTTAAAATAGAGCATTAATAAATTTAGGTGAGAGGACATTCTCATATTAAAACATCATGCCACCTGGCATATATCTCTCTGTGTGTTTATGTCTGCGTGTGTGCAGGAGGTGTATTGTGTACTTTTTGTTGTGGGACCGTGCTTCCAACGGTATCATTTATAGTGACAACTCACTTACTGGGAACGAACACCAGCCGCCTGCGTGGCAGGCCGAAGTGTTAACCACTCAATCAATCCGCCCATAGGTCGACTAAGGTATATTTTAAGCTTTATCACATCATGATTGGGTAAACGGGAGTCTGTGGCAGTTTTCGGACAATGTTTAGTACATGTGAAACACTTCTGTACTCATGCCCAGCACGAGTAGCTTTATATTAACTCATTTAGCTAACAACCCGTACACTTGTATTAGCATACTACAGTTGTCAATCGGTATCGCCCACTCTTTAAATCTTCTATCTCAGTACCTGCTTGTGTTCGATTTCTGTTTTGCTCACCAACAGGGTAACTGTACTTTCATGTGCGAATGGTGGGCTTAGTTGTGTTAAATTATCGCTTTAGAGCATACTTATTTGGGTATGATATATTTTATCAGGACAGCTTCATAATAAGAACGTAGCTCTCGGGTGCCGAATGGTAACACATGCGTGCGTAAACAAGTTGCTTCCCCTTTCTAAACGTTGCCCTTGATTTTTGTTCGTCCGGAAGTAGCCCTGCAGTGGGTAAACCGGAAGTGTATCCTTGACTTCTAGCCAATGGAAATGGAGAACAATAATTAATGCGCACCAGAAATCGGGGAAATCCCTGGCACTTCGATATTTAAGTCGATTTGATTGATAACTGATATCTAAAGTGTACAATATTGTTTGAATAGTTAAGAGATAGTCTTCTAGTTGTAGAAGATATATAAGTTGTATATGTTTTGGGAATAAAAGAAGAAATATTTTACAAAAGTGAGATTTCCGTTTTTGCGTGAAACAGAAATAGAATATAGTTATAATTTTGTGGAACAAGTGGGG